CCCCCCAAGATGACAGCATATTGAATGTATCTGCATCTTACCGTAACTCCAGGGGTCAAATTTGCGTCGCTTTTTAATGCCTGTGGTGTTGCGGTTCGTGAAATTTCGGTTGAGAGATATTTGGGATGAGCAGTGAGTGGTTGCGAATTTGAGTTGGCTTGAGGCATCTGACAGGTTTTGCTATAAATTGTACGCCCTAGCGTAGTGCTGGACATTTGAAATACGGGGATGGGGGGCGTGGAGGCGCAACAAGAAGTGACCATTCCCCAAATCAGCAAACAAACTTTGACGTGTACGTACGCGACGTGGTTGCTTGTTATTTGTTGAATAGCACTGCTAGCAATCGACAGAGTTTGCTGCTAGAATGAGAACTGTGTCCCAGGCAGGTAGTGATGTCAGGTTTTTAGCCCATAGTTTGCACAGTGAATGAAAACCCCGCCGGCCAATGCTCTCATTTGCGATTCGCATTACTCCCCCCGGCCTTAATGGAAACCAATTTCCTCTCACTGGCAGTTAACACTCCATCAAAATTTTTAGCGATTTTTTTTTGAAATTCCAAAAAATAAAGCAGAAATTATGAGCTCTGTGTTGTATTACGCATTTTCAGGATGAACGAGTTCGTTGATGTTTACGGAACTGAATTGGCTGGCACACGTACAAACAGTGGCTTCCCGGAGGGACGTGTACTTCGACGTCCAAACATACTACGCCGATCGTCGAAGGCAAAATCTCGGCCATCAGCAACCCATGCTGCTGCTGCTGCTGCTGCGGTTCCAGCAGTGATCACCAGTTCATGTAAATCGGAGGATAGTACCATCCCAGCAACCAGCAGTTCATGCAAAACCGAAAATTGTACCGCTTTAGCAGCCAGCGATTCGCGCAAATCCGAAAATGGTGCAACTTCAGCAACCGCCGCTGCGTGCAAATCCGAGCACAACAGCAATTCAGCAGCCAAAAGTCAGTGTAAATTTGAGGTCAGTAAGTTTAATTGAAAGTTACAATAAGAAGGAATGAAATAAGAAAAAAAAAAGTGAAAAGAAAAATGAGAAATGGGAATTTGAAAATTTGTAAGATTATTATTATTGCTGTTGTTATTATTATTTTTGTTATTATTGTTATTGTTATTATTATTATTATTATTGTTATTATTATTATTATTATGATTATTATGGTTATGATTATTATAATGGCAAGAAATGTTTCGGTCCAAAAGTTTGTAGTTGCTGCAGTTTTATGCAAAATTGAGGTCACTACAAGTTTAAATAATTTTGTGATCGCTGCAAACCTGTGGCCACTTCAAGTAGTCGAAGCTGCGCGATTGGGATGTTTTGGCCGTTGTTCTTCCCTGCCCAGGATGTGTTGTTTTTGCAGGCATTTCACTTGGAACCGCCAATGGACGCAGCAACGGAAGCAGCCACAATCGCAGCTATACTGGAAGCGACACTCAAAAATGAAGGGATCGTTGAAGAAGGATGGGATGATCCTCCTGGTTTGTGCTTCTTCCTGAAAAGTCGTCTCACAGGCCTCCCGCTTTTCTGTGTGAAATTCTCTGAATGGTTTCTGTCTTGGCAAACCACTTCCTGACCGATTAGTTCTCGAATCGTAATTCAACAGGAGGCTACAGTGGCTTGATCTCCGCTCTGTCTGTGTTTACAGCTAAGGGATGAAACAGAGAATGCATCCAAAAGTGCCTTCTTGCAGATTGATTCTTTATTTCCTATTTTGTTGTTCATTATATATAAGCGTGCAACTGATTCCTTTCTGGCCGTCCTTCCTCGCTATTTAGTAATTTTGGATACTTACAAATTCACAGTTTGAACTTTTCCAATTGCTTTGGTCAGTGTCTTTTGAGCCGGTGGTCGGTCTGCGGGCGGTCCAAACGTTTGCTTCATCACCTGCTGGGATTGCGAGCTTTTCATGATTTTTCCGGCAGAAACACTTTAGCCATTTCAGTGAATGCTTTGTGTGCATTGATCGAATCCTCCTCTCTGTGCTAGAAAGTGAATAGGAAGGAGAGGGGGAAGAGAAAAAAAAAGAGGAAGATTAACTTTTAAGTTCTGTTAATCGTTGATAATAGATTGGTAAAGACTTATACTATAAGTTAGCAGCTATTCCAAGTATTCCAAAACATTCAGTTTTGCTGTTTTGTTAAACAAAATTCGGGATTTTTGTTTGAAAATTTTGCAGAATTAGCAATTTTTTCCCTTAATTTTTTTCAATGTTATAATACTTAAAACTCATCGTTTGAGTTTCTTTTTATTCCACTCATAATTTTAATTTTCATAGCTGCGGTGCATGTAAATTTTCAGATCTTGATGAATTGCTTGAAAAATTGAAGCCAGTACCGATCAAGGATTATGCGCCCAGATTCCTGAAACCCCCGATTGTGAGGTTTGAGGACTGGAAGGATCCCTCAGATGATTATTTCCGCCTGATTGGTTACATGGGTCTTCTCACTGCTCTCTCGGCATATCGGGATGTTGTGCAGACTCCAAATGGATTTGAGGTTTTTCATTTTTTTAAACTTTTTTTTTTT